CGCCATAGTTTCTCCGAAATCTGGTTGGCGAACAGCGTCCCCGGGGTCCCCCGCCATCGGCACGTGCCCCTCGAGGTGGGCCTGCGCGTCGTCCAGGAGAGGGGTGTACGGGGAGTCGGGGCCGTGGCCGGAGCGCTGCTTCTTGGCCGCCATGTTCGCCCACGGGTCGTTCTCCTGGAGGCCGTCCTTGAACAGATGGCCTACCGGGGAACCTGGCACGCGGGACCGAGGTTTCGGGGTAGCAATACTATGAGCATCCGCCATTGCAGCTACAATTGCAAGAGGGATCGGAGAGCAAGAGAAAGTGCTCTTGAGAGAAAGTGCTCTTGAGCCAGGAAGTGCTCTTGAGCCCAAATTCGCGACGCAACGAAAATGCCCCGAATTTCGGTCCCGCGCCCGAGGGGGTATCCCTCGACAGTGGAGCCCCAATCCGCTAGATCAGAGCGGGGGTGACTTCCCAATTCCCCCACCTTTCGAAGGATTTAGCACCCTATCCCGAGGTATGGCCGAAAACTATAAGTGGGGCGGAATGCGTCTTCACGGCCGCTGGCAAAGAAAAAACAGGTACATGGACCCCCCTGGTTTCAGCAGGTGGCCGATAGCTTTCGGCAGTACCTCCGACTTTGAGGATGTGGCTTGCGGTCGGCCAACTACTAGATTATGTATCCCTCGCAGTCGCACAGTCTCCAGTATTTCGCTGATGGCCGCCTCCTCCTTAAAGATGGGTTTAGGTACCCTTTAAGCCTGTAGCGCGCTTAGCAATCCTCCTCCTCCTCCTCCTCCTCCTCCCGCCTCGCCATGCATGCCTTCGTCTCCTCCGCCCTCCCCCGCTCTCTCTCCACGCATCCCCTCCTGCCTCGTCTCTTCTCCTGCCTCCCTGCCTCCCTCCTCAGCCAATCGGGGCCGAACCCACCGCGCCTCTGGAGAGCGTCGAGGGCTGCCTATCGCGGTTCGCGTCTCCATATTTTTGGAGTTCCATCGGAGGCCCTTGTGGCACAGGCCGCGAGCCGCGTCTGGGCCACTTCGACGCGCTCGCCACGCCATTCGTGGCCCCACAGGGAATGCCACCGAATGCTTTGTGGGATAGGCCGTTTGCCACCGCCGAGACCGTTTTAGTTTATTCAATTTACGGTTCGCGGACCCCCGCGGAGCTGTGCCAAATGTATTGATGTTGCGCAGAAAGCATGCCACCGCGCAGACCGTCGCAACACGCCCATCGAACGGTTCGTCGCCCAATCATACGAAGCCCCATCGAAGGCGTTCGTAGCGCAGAGCGCATGCTGCCGCTCAGACTCTTTTGGCGCGCCAGCCATGCGCTTCGTGGCAATATGAGGGTTCCGCCGAAAACACTGGTGACACAGGCCGCGCGTCGCCGCCCAGGCCATTTCAACAGTCTTCGCACGATCCGCGGCCGCATGAGGAAACTCCACTGAAGGGTCGCCAGGCACAAACCGCACGCCGCCACCCAGACCATGTAGCACACACCCCTCACGGTTCGCGGCCCCGTAGGGAATTCTTCCGAAGGAGTTTGTGGCACATGCTGCATTGCGCCGTCCAAACCATTTCAGCACGCGGCCAACGTGTTTTGTTGCCAAATGTGGAGCACAGGCCGCAAGCCGCCGCCCCAAGCCAATTCACTGCTGCCTCGCACGATTCGCGGGCCCCTTGGGAGTTTTACCGAAGGGTTTTGTGGCACAGGTTGTTTGCCGCCGCCCAGACCATTTAAGCGCAGTCTTCACACGCTTGGTGGCTTCATGGGGAGCTCCACCGGAGGCCCTTGTGGTAAATTTCGCATGCGGTCTCATTGTGTTCGCGCGTGTCGGGCTGTCTTGTCTATTTTCGCGCTGCGTTCAGAAAGTTTTGGCTCTTTCGCCGGGTTCAATCGGAAAGACTGACCAGCATGATGAGGACGATCGATGGCGGGGTCACTATTTGAAGGATGACGCGGGCGAGGGGCTCCTCCGATAAGGGGCATTCGGAGCATTTTTTAGCATGTGGGCGAGCGGTGCCTCACAGTTACAATATATATTTATATATATATATATATATATATATAAATATATATATATATATATATATATATATATATATATTGGTGAGGCTCGGAGCTGTCACAGTGCGCGGGCGGACGGCATTGGAGGCAGGATCGACGAGGGGGGCGTAGGAGCAGAAACGAGGGGGGGCGAGGGGCAGAGACGGGGGCGGCGGGCAGGGCAGGGTGGGGGCAGAGGGCTTTGCGGGGAAACCCATGCATGGAAGTTTCCGCGAGGGCTCCCATAGGCCCGCGGTGGGTCCGGACTCCCCCCCCCGCGGTGGGTCCGGACTCCCCTCGGCATCGATTTTTAAACGTCTGGGAGGACTGCCGAGGGGAGTCCGAACCCACCGCGGCCCCATGGGCGCTCCCGCGGCGGTGGGTCCGGACTCCCCTCGGCAATGGTTTTTGACATGTCCAGAGGGGCCTGGCGCGGGCTCGGCATGGCCCCCCGGGGCCCTCGAGTCCGTTGCGACTGGGGATCCAAAGCGCTGTCTGGGTCGCAGAGTTGTCGTGTCGCTGGGGGCATGGGCGGGGGAGTCAACCGACGTTGCCTCCAGATTATGACACGGGGTGTGCGAAAATGAGCTGATGGAGCCTGAGCGGGGCCTGCAGTGGGCCGTCCTGGAGCTGTCTTGATGTCCTGTATCAGTGCCGTATCAGGATTATCTGTTTTTCTTTCGGGGGCATCTTGGCGACTCCCTGGTGCCCCATGGGGGATCAATGGAAGGCTTGGGATTACGTTGCCGCGGATTCGGTTTGTCATCGAGCCGTCCTTCGCCTGCCTTGGAGGCGACGCGGAGGCATGTGAGCCATCGGGAGAGTAGTGTGATGGAGCTCTTGGAGGCCGTCGTTTTGTTCTAACTATCCTGTCTGTTGGGTCCTCGTTGTGAGCCCGCAGCGCTGAACGCCTCCTCTCCTGTCTTCCCCCCATCTACCGCCGCCTCCTACTCCAAGCCGCTTCAGCTCCTCTTCATGTATAATTGTTTTGCATGGTGGATCTTCGCTTTGTCTCCGCCGATGCAGTTTCCGCACGCCGTCCGAACGATTCGTGGCCCCATAGGGCCCCGCCGAAGGCCTCCGTAGCACAGGCCGTTTTCCGTTGCCCGATGCCAATTCAGCACGCACCCCACACGGCCGTTGCCCAGGCCATTTCATGTTTTAGCTCTTGCAATTCTTGGTTTCATACGGAACCCCGCCGAAGGCCCTTTAGCGCAGGCAACTTTGCGTTGTCTGGGCCATGTCAGCACGCCCTGACACGGTTTGTGGCCCCATAGGAAACGCCACCAAAGGTTTTGAAACACAGGCCGCTTGCCGCCGCCGAGACCATTTCAGTCCTTTCTTCATTCGGTTCGTGGCATCATAGGGAGCTCCACCGCCGGCCATTGTTAGCACAGGCCGCGCGCCGCCGCCCGGACCATGTCAGTGCAGTCTTCACACGGTTCGCTCGTGGCCTCCAAGGGGATGCGCCGAAGGTTTTTGCGGCGCACTTCGCATTCGGGCTCGATGTGCTGGTTTGTGTTGCATGCGCGCTGCGTTCTGAAAGGGTCTACCTCGTAGCAAAAATAGATATGTGAGTCTGTGTGGGGCTCGTCGTGGCGCTTTTCTGCGAATGCGTGGAACTGCGGCCTGAAAGAAGACGAGTATTGCGTTTGGACGGCCGGTAATGTCAGTCATGCCAACCTTGCAGCGCGCACCCTGTTGAACCTAGCGTGAGACGTGGCTTCACCGTCAGCCCCGACCTTGGGCGAGACACGCGCGGCGCTGCAGACATTCCGCAAAACCGACTTCACCACAAGTGTGCGGGAGGCGCGCTAATCGCAAATAGTTGGGTACGCAATTGCCAGACGTGCAACACACCGCAACATTTGTTGCATCGCTGCGCGACGAAAGCGTAAAAGTGTGCGCCTGCCGAAAGCATTACAGGACAGCAACACCGTGACACATGATGCAGCCAACTCTGACCAATGTCGGGGGACGCGGTGGGTTCGGTTCCGATTGCTTGGTAGTTACTCGTCCCTCCCCTCCCCCTGAGCGAGAAGCAGGCCCGACAACCAGCCCTACCGAGGCCGGGGACGACGGAGACCATTCACCGTCCCCGCCCCCCCTCTCCCGCCCCCTCCCTCCGTCCCCACAGCCGACCAGCTGCCCCGTATTGCTGCCAATGGTACGGCATCTCGGGAAAGGCGCTATAAGCGCATCTCCCCTTGGTCAGGCCAATTGGCGCTTCAATTCCAAAAGCTGTGTGTTGCCCTAGCTCGACCTGCGGTTTTTCATATTGTAGCTGCCAGAGCTGAGCACGTCTTCGCGAGACAGCTATGTTACGCCGCCGCCGCGCTCCCCCCCCCCTCCCCCTTTCCCGGACCCCCTCGAGCCATGACAAGATCACGATTGGAAATTGTTCACGATGTTCGGCTTCCGGGGGCCGTTACCGGGGCCAGTGGCCGTCAAAAAACGATTGAGGATGAAGAATCCGTCCCAGGAAATGGGTCGAGACTTCCTGGTCTCGACGTCGTATGAAAAGTTTGTGCTGAAGAGACGGGGGTCAATGCAAACGGGGGTCAGCCAGAGCACCGGATCTTTCAGGATCCTGCAGAATCATGGGTCGCATTGACCCGGGCTTGGGTGCAGGATCTTTCAGAATCCAGCAGGATCCTCAAGGGTCCTGCAAGGCCCGACGGATCCGGGTCTGGATCGACCCGGGCCAGTGGATACCCAGACAAAAATCACGACGCCGGGGGTCTGGGTCGTTTTCCTTTCCCCCTCCTCTCTTCCACCGCTGTTCCTCTTTTCCTCCCTCCTCCTGCTCCCTAGTGCTCCTCGCCTGCCCTTTTCCCCCCCCCTTCTCCTCCCCCTTCTCTTTCCCCTCCCCCTCCCTGCCCCTCCCACCTTTCCTCCCCCCTGGGGAGGTCAACTTTTGGTGCTGCCTTCTTCTCCTGCCCCCTTTCCCCCCTCACTTCCCCCCCGCAGGAGGGCGGCCTGGTCCGGCACGGTCGCGTGGGGGGGCAGCTGAGCGTGTCGCGTTCGCTGGGCGACCACCACCTGAAGACGTGCGGGGTGAGCTGTGTGCCCGACGTCTTCGCGTGCGAGTTCCTGCGGCCTCCCAAAGCTCGGAGGTTGCTAGAATTGGCCGCGCGCAGAGGGGGGCAGGGGGAGGGGGATAGGCTTCTCAGAAGCAGCCTCCTTCTAAGAAGCCTTCCCCCTCCCCCTCCCCCCTTGTGCGCGCCGCCAATAATCAGAAGGCTCCCCCTGCCCAGGGTGCCCCCAGCTTTCCGACCGATCTTGGGAGGTGCTCGTGGGGGGTGTTCCTTGGAGGTCGTGGGAGCCCTCCTGGAATTCCCCCGAGGGGCGCCCTGGGCAGGGAGCACTTTTCAAAGAAGAAGAAACCACACATAATCTTGTCGCTCCGCTGGGCCCCCGGCCCCCGCGGCGCCTCCGGCGCCGCCCCTGGTGCGCCCCGCGCGCCCGGGAGGGGGTTCCAGCGCAGATCCAGGAAGTCTGCGCGGAGCGCCACAGGTTTATGTTTATGCCGTGTGTTGTTATCTGTTTTGTTCTCGTGCTTGTTTTTTACACAAAAATGGCCAGAACCCACCTCGAGTCATGAGAAAATCCCGGGCGGTGGTTTTGTCGGCCAGTCTCGGCCTCGGGGGGCCCTTCACGCTGGGCCCTGGGAGCGTGAACAACACGGAGCTCGGGATGGAAAGCCGATCCCGGAGAAGGGGTCGAGATCCCCGGGAGTCCACGTGCGAAAACAGCACGACGTCGGCGGCCACCCTGGCAGCTTCTTCCCTTGAAGAACCACTAGCAATGTGGAGGACGATCAAATGTAGAGAGGAAGCATGTTGCCAAACAATTTCCTGATGTTTCAAATATAGTTTGAGCATGTCTTAAACATGTAACAAACATGTGTTAATCATGCCTAGAACGTTTGCTTCAACATGTTAAAAACACATGCTTAAATCATGATCTTGTTAGACTGTCGATTGTCATGGCATCCACAACGCTAGCGGCACAATTATACGTTGTCGAACCTCCCGCACGGATGTTTGGGACTGGTGCTGGGGCCTCCTCTTCCTCCTCCTCCTCCTCCGCTTCCTCCTCCGCTTCCTCCTCCTCCTCCTCCTCCTCCTCCTCCTCCTCCAGCTCCTCCCTCCTCCTCCCTCCTCCCTCCTCCTCCCTCCCCCCCCTCCCCCCTCATCCTCCTCCCCCCTCCTCCCTCCCCCCTCTCCCCCTGCCCCTCCTCCTCCGTCTCCTCCTCCTCCTCCTCCTCCGTCTCCTCCTCCTCCTCCTCCTCCTTTTCCTCCCCCCTCCTCCCTCCTCCACCCTCCTCCACCTCCTAGCCGCCGTCCCGGCCCGAGACTGCTGCCATACGCGTTTGCCCGCCGCGTGCCGCAGGCCGCCGCGCGCCGCAGGGCAGCCGTGCCCAGCCGCCTGCCACGGCGACCAGCAGGCGCTCGCGGGGTGACCCCGCCTGGTACAGGCGCCAACGCCAGGCTCGCAGCAGAGCCAGGGTGCTGGCACAAGTTGCCGCAGCAATGGACCTACTACGACGGCATCATTCCAGCCCGATGGGCGGCCGACACGGACAACGACAATTCCAGCCTAGGGGAGGAGGAGGCACCAGGTCGGCTCCATGGCAGCGCCCACAGCAACAGCAGGGCTACAAGAAGCTATGGGAGTGCCCAGCCTGCGCGTGTGCCAACCCCTCGGAGTCGCCCGCCTGCAAGCGGTGCCATCCCCCCGCCCCCCAGCCGGCTGGCGAGCGGCCTTGGCGCACTCGCTCGGCCTTGCGCGCGCCGAGGCGCCGCGCTGCTTCCGCCCAGCCGAGTCATGGGGAGGCCGCCAAGACGGCGCCAGGCGACCAGCAGGACCCCCAGGACGACCTCATCCCCGTGTTTCCTGCAACGCCTGAGGGCGCCACCAGCCACAAAAGGTGGCGAGACCCGCCCGGGGACCCGCGCCAGTTGGGCGAGTACCGCAAGGCGCTCACCTCGACCATGGAGTCGCTGGAGCGGCAGGTCCGCTGCGCGGATGCCTTCTCTCTAGACTCCCAGCTGATCACAGATCTTCAGGAGGAGTACGCGGTGGTACTATACCAGTTAACGTACAGTTGGCCGTCACAGGCGCGTGTGACGAAGCCGAGGCTCTTCGTCAACAGATGCCGCCGACGCCACCGCGAAGCTAGACCTCCTCCACGAGCAGATCGACGCAGCAGAGGCTCAATGCCAGCATCTGCAGGAGGAAGTTACCCAGCCGGAGCAGTTACTCGAGCACTTCGAGGAGCTCGAGGACGAGCTCCCTGTTGCTTCAGTACGCGCTGCTGCTGCTGCTGCTGCTGCTGCTGCTGATGATGATGATGATGATGATGATGATGATGATGATGATGATGATGATGATGATGATGATGATGATGATGATGATGATGGTGATGATGATGATGATGATGATGATGCGGATGCGGATGCGGATGCGGATGCGGATGCGGATGCGGATGCGGATGCGGATGCGGATGATGATGATTTTCGCACGGCAGAGGGCGAAGGTGGCACAGGACATGTTCGCCCAGGTCACCGCAGTCGCCAGGTAAGGCATCCGTTGCCTCTGCCGCCGCGACTGCGCCCTTTCGTCCTGGACAGCATTCCTGGCCAGCAGCCGCAAGGACAGGTGCTCCTCGGGCAGAAGCAGAGACGGCCAGCCCCCCGCAGGCTGCCGCCCAGCCCCCTCAGCAGGTAGCACCACCTGGCGAGGCGCAGTCTGCCACATCGAGTGACATCATCACGCCGACCATGCTTGCAGCGATCCAGCAGAGCAACGCGCAACTGCTCGCCAACATGAGGAACATCCAATCCGCGGCCACCACGCTGCAGACGGAGATCAGCACGCTCAGATCCGAGAAGGAGGAGGATTTGAACCAGATTCGCCAAGCCGCAGTGGAAGCAGCGCAGCAGGCCATTGCAGAGCAGCCGAGCGGCAGCAAGAAGCCCCAGCAGGTTGTCGTCGATCCTGCGGCCCAGCAAGCAGGGCGCGCCCGCGTGGCGGCAGCGCATCGCAGCCGCGGCACGGCGCGATCTGCGCCCCCGCGCCGCCGCGTCGACGGCGGCCAGACTGGCGCTAAGACCGTGCGCGCGGGCCCCGCTGGCGAGGGCTCGCTCGGCGCAGGAGCGGCCGCCGTCGCCGAGCGCGAGGCGCAGGCTGAGGCCGCGGCTCGTCAGGCTACCGACGCCGAAGCCGAGCTTGCAGGTAAGGACGACAGCGGCAGTGAGCTCCTTGCCACTGACTCCGCAGCTGCTTCTGCCTTTGCAGTTTTTCGCTCGGGGTCGTGCCAGAAGCGCCTCGACCCTCTATTTGGAATTCAAACGCCCCCATCCCAGATCCAGATTTTCCGCCTCCCCCCCCTGGGGAGAGGACTCGCAAGCGGAAAATCTGTCATATCATCTTGGCTATCAGATACACGACTCTCTAGTTGGATCCGTGCCAGGTGCCCCATATTCGTTTATCCCTCCGCTGCGCTTTACCAGGCGCGCGCTTGAGAGGCGATGCCCCGTCCAGCTTTCCAATGACTTGCTGTCGCGGGCACGCGTCTGGCATTCGCCCCCAGTCTCAGCTGCCAGTAATCTCGTTCCGTTCGATCTGGAGGCCCAGGTTGATCACGTCAAGATCTACGCAGATGCTACGTCAGGAGCGTTCAGGCACCACGGGCAGTTATGCTCGCCTGCGTGTGCGTTCAGTGTTCTTGCGGCCACCGCCGTTGGGATCTCTCTCCTCGAGCATCTGGCAGGACCGCTGCAGGGGCGGGGCGCTCCTGACGCGAGAGCCCCGCTGCCAGCGGAGCTTGAAGGGGCCGTTTGGGCCACCGCTTGGCTTGTGCTTTTACACAGACAACATCTATGTCCTACGCATATCAAGTAGGCTCTGTGCATGGCGTGCTCCTTCCCGCTAAGACGCTTCTTGACGGTCTCACGCAGGTCGTTCGCATGCGCGTGATGGTGGTTGCATATGAGCACGCGCACGGTCACGCAGCGCGCCCATGGAATCAGCGCGTGGATGCGCTTGTCCGTTTGTATGCCATGCGCGTCCTACCTGAACTCTTCGAGCCCGTTTGGAGATCCCCCATCCAGCAGGGCCCCCACTCCAAGGCCCTACCCTGGCCCTGATTGCTGTATTCCGACTCCAGCGCCCGACGGGCATGCCCGCCCGACCACGGTGCGTTCTTTCCTGCGCCCCAGGCCCCCTCAGTTGGCATTCGGGAGATCCTGCCGATCCCCGAGAGCCCTCCTCGAGGCCGACATGTGTATGCCATGGGGTGGCCGGCCGTGGCTCGCGTGCTCTCGTTAGACCCCCGGGCCTGCAAAGGTCCCCGGCAGGCCCGCTACATTTTCCAAGGCGTCAACGCCAGTGGCCGCATGATGCAGCTGGCGGGACAGTTTGCCCAGCGACTTTATTTCATTGTAGGTGCCGTGGAGACGCGTCTCAGGCGGACAGGCGCCCCCGAGCTTGGCCAGCACCTCCTGTTGCACGCCCGGGCGAACGACTCCGGAGGGGAAGGTTGCTTCCGATGGATCAACGCCCACTGGGAATATCAACAGGGATGCAGGTTGCAACCTTCTCACTTCCAGGTGCTACAAGCAGTGCCCGATATCATGATTGTGGCCGCAGGGGCCCCTGCGCTGTCGCTCGATGCCCGCGTGGCCCGCGCCCCGCATTCGCGCCGACCCCCTGCGCACATGCGACAGTGGTGGAAAGAACTACAGCATCTCACCACACAACATAGGGGTACTGCCGAGCATATCGTTACTATGATTGACGCCAACACTGCCGCGGGATCGCATGCTGATACACATGTGGGGCCCACGCGTGCTGGGCCTGAAAACCTACCAGGCCACAGCTTTCGCAGCTTCTTTCAGGGCACGGCCCAACGGGCGCCGCCTACCTTTTACGAGGACCACTCGGGCTCTGCAGGTGCTTGGACAGCCCAAGGAGTATGCGCTACCCCTTAACGGCGTGACTATATCGTGGTGTCCTCTGATATACGTGGGCCTGCGCAGGGCGTCGATCACGGCGTCGACCTCGCAGTCTCGCAGCCAGGCCG